AACAGTGCTACTATAAAGACTAGACTTATGAAATAGAGCTAGAACTTGTAAAACCGAGCAAATGTGCTGATCTTTAAGGAGGGACCAGATGAACCAACTAGGCCACTGGAATTTCTGGGTTCTGGAGGAAAAAGGCACATGCTGGCAAATATGTAAATCAGAGATGTATAGTTTCAACCTACCTTTCTGGGATATCTGAAATGACAGCTTAATGGAACTTGAATTGAATACCAAAGTAGTAAGGATATATTGTGAAGTCAGTACTGGGGTTGGGATAAACTCTACAAAGCATAACAGTTTAATGGTATGCCCTGACTGCAAGTGTTGGTCTCAGCTATAGTGATACCAGGTCAGCTGTAAGAATGGGATACAGAAGATTCTGGAAGATTTAGTACAAGATCAAAGGTTCCCTATATAAATAAACCACTTTAAAAACTTAGTGACCAAGGCATATTTGAACTAATATCGACCAGAGCATCTTGGTAGATGTAGGTAGGTGGGTAAATATAGGAACAGAGTGGTTAAATAGGAAACCTACAAGCAGTTTTTAGATATGGCAGCTAGTGTAGAACCTTCAGATGAACTACTTAAATTAGACAATGACTAAAGTTATACAAGTGACTAGTTGTATACTCTTTTTATGGTTGCCCTCTGTGGTTGTAAAGCAACCATTAGCTGAATATACTATCAATAAAATTCTGGGTCACAAGTACTCACCTTAATATTTAAAAAAAAAAAAAGAGATAGAATATTGTTTAAAATAGAAAAATAAACTAATATACTAGCAAAACTGTTAAATAAATTAGTAACAAATATAAAATTAAAACTAGAATAAAAAAAATAAAAGTCATTAGAAATTTAAAACCAGAAACAGAAGTTATGATTTATAATTAAATACAATTTTGAAAAAAACTAAAAGTAACTAAAAGAGTACATTATATAACAAAAACAAATAGTATAAGAAGAAGTGTATTTATAAAATATATAATAAATAAATTACTAATTTTAAAAAAACTTAACAAAAAATATCAAATATATATACAATAACAAAATATTAAATATGGTAAAATATTTAATATCATATATAGAATAAACAAATCTTCAGAAAAGAATTTAAAAATAACTATTACAATTATATAAAAAGATTAAAATAAGAAGAAAAAACATATATTTTTTATATATGTTATATATATATAATACTTTTTGAAAAAGTAGAAGCAAAAGATATAGAAATAAAAAAAACATTAATTAAAGATCTAATTCTAAAAAAGAATACAAAACAGATTAGTATAATTCATAAGTACCAAGACAAAACAACAGTTTATAAATATAAAAACAAAAACAACTTAAAACATTTTCTACAAACAAGTTTAAAAAATATGATATAAAAAAATTAATGAATGAAAAAAAATAACAAGTAAAATGAAAAAAAAGAAAAACTTAAACAAAAAAGAAAAGACAAATTAATAAAAGATAAAAAAAAGAAATAAATAAACAAGAAAAAAAAGAATTAAAAAAAAATTAAGACAATAATGTTGAAACTTGTTATAAAAAAAAGAAAACTTTTCTATTATAAATTTTAAATAATTAGAATTAGACAAACAACCTACTTCTGCTTTAAGTAATGTAACAAGTTACACTTAAACACTATTTGGATGACTGAGTAATGCTAAACTTAGTTGTTAAATATATTTATGTAATTGCAAAAGTAATTTCAAAAATCTTAATAAAGTACTAGCATAACTGCTTAAGAAAAAAAAAATACTGTAAATATTAACCTTAAAAAAAAAAATTAGAATTGATTTTCATAATCTAGTTAAGTCAAAATTTGAAAACTTGTAAAAAATTTTTTTTATATATTTTAATAATCAAGTAGAAAAAAAAAATTTAATAAAATTTTTATATATAAAATTTAAAAAAAAAACTGACCAACCAGAACTGTTTGAAAATAAAAACCAATTAAATTTATGTAATTTAATAATACAATTTTAATAATAATATGATTTAATTTTAATTAGTAAAATTTAAAAAAATATTAAATATAAATTTATCATGATTATAAATTCGAATATTCTGACTTTTTGACTTTTGTAACACAAACTGATGGCATATTTCGATTAAGAAATAAAAAATTCATGCATCCCTATACGCATATTAAATTCGCTGCCAGATAAACAAGTTATTAGTTGAGTAGCATTCAATAACGATATTATCCGGTATCTTACGACGACCGAACCAACAGAATAACTCGAGTTCTTTTGATGATGATGCAATCATAATCAAAAGAACTCGAGTTATTCTGTTGGTACGATCATAGTAAAGTGCCAGAAAATTTACTATTATTCTGTTGGTACGATCATAGTAAAGTGCCAGAAAATTTACTATTATTAATGAAGGGTATTACGAAAAGAAAAATGTATTACACTTTTCGTAACAACGTACGCACGTATGCAATTCATGCAACGCAATCACGTTCATAACCCGAACCCCGGCGCTACGAATTACTTGGGTACTATCGAACGTGTCGAACATACAATGTATTACATATTAGCAAAGAAAATAATAATGAAGCATTATACTAAAGAAAATTTTTAGCAAAATTTTTGCAATAGTCGTATGGTATGATCAGAAAATTTGTAAATCCAGATTAGTGGGATTGAACATTTAGATAAATTAGTAAGAAAAAAAAAAAGTGTGTTTATAGTAACAGATTTTTTAGAGGTTACATATTCAACCGTCGTTTTGACCCGAATTATAAATTTTTGACCCAGTTGAATCGTTTTGACAAGAGTGACCCGGTTTACTATAACCCAATTCTAAACTCTAGTCTAATGTCCATGAGAGTGTGCTTCCTCTTCATCTTTTAAAACCTCTTCTTCAAACGAGGATCCAAACAAAGCTTCGGTTTCAGAATGTACATCTTCAGCATCATATGCGGCTAATTCTTCAGAAACATCCTCAAGAACATCCGGTGGCTTTAAATAATCGAAATTAATATATAATAAAAATAATAGAAAACTTTCATAAAACTAAAATTGGCAGTTACCGTGAGAGCTGGAGGTGCCCGAAGTTCTCTCACAAAACCGGCTTCGGCACCAGGTTTCTTTTATATGTAAATTGATTAATGACTTAAATTATCTATTTAATAAGCTAATAGGCAAAAAAAAATTAAAAGTACCTGTGGTATAGGTTTATAATTTCTGAGTTCTTTGATATATATATCTCGAATAAAGTCGTTAGCCGAAGCTATTTTACTTGTCGAAAAACGAAACCTCTGGTAAAATGGCGAACCCCTGGCGAAAAGTGAAACTCTAGGAAATATAAATGGCTGAACCATAATTGGTAGACGAATCCATTTTTCCATGATGTCGAAACAATAATGCTGAGGCTGAAATGCAAACTCAAATTAGATCACCTACAAAAAATTTCAGACACGTGTTCTATACCAATCAGACCTTTTGATCTGATAATTCGTGTCGATCTTACCACTGCTTCCGAATACATTTTTATCGATACATAATTTGTTAAATCGCTGGGGACGAAATATTTAACATCCCTACGAAAAATTAATTGCAACGCTAAAATTGTAAAAAAAGTAATCCAATAAATTACAACGCTAAAATTGTAAAAACGTAATCCAATAAATTGCAATGAATTCATTGAAATCGAAATGAAATTCATTGGAAACGATTTAAAAAAAAAGTAAATTTTGTGAAAGTTAGCTAATTTAAAGAAGCGATTATTTGGTTGCATTATTCTTTAAACTACAATTTTTGACGTCAAAGATCAGTAAATATACTCACACTTAAGTCTATTATTATTACATATTTTATCAAGTCGTTACATTTTTGCAAACAGCAAAAATTGCAATTAATTGACTTTCTGTGGCTGCACCATCAGTCAATTAAACGATTGCAATTACCCTATAGGAACCTGGCACGCCTAAAACCATTTGGCATGCCATTTAGCAAATTGCATGCCAGAATGCCGCCTTGGCATGGCATATTATAAGTATGATAAAAAATTATTTTTCGAATACTGTATTATTAACCAATCAGATTACATTAATTTTATAATAAAGGCATGCCATAATGAACTTTAAACGCTTCGATATGTCAATGACTATCGAGCCAGGTTCCCTAAATTGCCCCCATAATCAATTATTTGGTGGGCCTGGTTTAGACACCCGTTCCTTGTATTTTTCGCGGGTTTCACTTCCTTTGTTTCGTCGAGTTGACTAGTCAGTGGCATGTCATAATTATATGTATTTCATGTGATGAATTTTCACATGACCTAAGCGTAGTTTTTTCTTACATGCACCAATTATTATTCTAGACAGTAGTGTCTTAAACATGTTAGGCTTGGTTAAATAATGTACTCTACCCAAAATTTTGGGCGTACAGTTAAAATCGTCTTCGTTGTTTAGTTATCGCCATGTAAACAACTTTGGGTATACTTGCGGACAGGACAAACTTTTGGGATTGTCTAAAATCCCACGTGGTAAAACCAGACAAATTCCAAATCGCCGAATCCCATCCAAAATCCTAAATCCCTTCTATATCTCAAATCCAAGTTCCAAATCTAAAATCTCATTATCATTATTTTAGTAAAGATATATTAAAAGTTTATACATACTGTATATACACGATATGATGATTCAACCTCATCTGAAGGTGATTTCACATAATTTGTGCAAAATAAATATCATAATGTTCTAAAATGAAAATTTTAAATAACTTGCTCGATATCATATAATATGCATTAAACATCGGGTATGTTAAATATATACTAGGGTTTATCTAGTATAAACTTTGAATTGAGATTTTGGATTCGAAAATTGGAGGTTTAGGATTTTGGATAGGATTTGAGGCATCTGGGATTTAGGATTTGGCCAGAGTTTGGGATTATGACAGCCCAAAAGAGTTTGTCTGGTTTGGGTTTGGGTAAGATTTTAAAGATTTATAGTTTGGGCAGCATATATATTCGTGTGTGTGGTATTAATAATACGGAATGATAATTCATTTAACTTTTAACGGTGATTTTAATGAAACAAACATTGGTTTCTTATATTCTCGAGATTTAGTGAACAAGCACTGGCGTATCCAAGCAATATAACGTTTATATCGGTATACCTTTCATTAAATCAAAAGAATGTAGAATAATTGGATATTTCCAATATTATCACCTTGCCTTTAAAAAATTATGTCAACCTAATGTAAAGGATACGGAGAATATAAAAAATTTGTTGCTTAAGTTGCTTATTAAGAACGGTGTAACTTTTATATTTCCATTTCAGATTTTTCTTTAGCGGTCTTTTCTAACGATAATCAATTAATTATAATGTGGACTATGACTTATGTATAAAATTTACAAACTGCTACGTATAAATGTGTCATCTTTTCGTTCATCATTATACATCGATACTATATTCATGTTTTGTAATGCTCCTTTCGAAAAGTCAATTTTTTATCAAATTAGAGAAAATGAAATTTTAATCATGTTTTAACTTAAATCTGACCAGATTTAAGAATCGAAAACAGCAAACGAATCAAATTAACTTTATAAATTCCGTAAAGTTGTTTACATTCAGTTTTATTGGTATTGTGTTAAAATTTAGTATACATTATCACATTTTTAGAACATGTAAGATTAAATATAATGACTAAAAAAAAAAAAAAAAAGACGATGATCGCTCTCGGTCGGGGAATTGAACCCCGGTCTCCCGCGTGACAGGCGGGGATACTGACCACTATACTAACCGAGATGTTTATCAAAAGTTTTTCGAATTTATAAATATTTATAAATTTACATTCAAGAAATAAAAACCAATTTTATCAAAATAACGAAAAAAATTGAATTTATCTTTATAATAATTAATTATTTGATATTTGAAGTCGAAATATTTTTTTATTTTAAACACATTCTTTACGACTAAAGTGTTTTCCAACCGTGTTAGCATTAAAACTAGCCTTATCGTTATGTTCCCCATTTGATTAAAAATTCACGAATTACTCAATATAACGTTTTACGTATTGTAACTGCATAAATACTGATATACTCACTTTATTTGTGCAAATTTTTAAATTCAAAATAATAAATAACTAGCATGTAAAAAAAAAAACGTATAACATCCGTGCATCATGTCACTAATAGCGATTAGCGTTAGGGTTTAAGTGATTTTTTGCTTTGAAACTTGACGATATATATGAAACATATGTACTGTCAATACGTAGTATTTATTAAGTATTTATTAATGTTAATTACGTATCAATAATTTATAAATTTCATTCATTTGACGACGTTACAAGTGGAACTTAGTTTAAATTATAGAATCGATTTAACGTTAAATTTCATTTTCACATACATCAATAAAGTTTGTTATATTCAGAGTCAAAAGTATATATATATATATATATAAATTGAATAATTTTAATTTGATCTATTAAATTCTTATGTCGGACCAGTCAAATTGGTCAGGTCAAAATAACCTTCAACTAATCAGTGCCAACATTAAATATTCGTTCGATTTGGATCCAAAATTGTTTGTAAAGAAATGAGATAGTTATCTGCAAATATTTTTGGAGGCGGTTATTTAGTTAGTATATTTTTTGATATTAGATTTCATACTAGCTGTTTTTAAGTTTATACGCGTATTCAAATAAAAAGGTTATAATAAATGACAATTTGTTTAAAAAGAACTCACCAATGCCTGTAACTCTTTTAGCACATTCGGTTCGTCAACTATTTTTGAAGACTCAAGAACTAGGATTTGAAATAACACCATCCACCTTTAGTTCATCTTTTTTGTAATTTCTGATAAACGAACTTAATAATACATTGTAGCATCTCATATAAAGAAATAATTTTCATAAATGAACTGCTTTTACAACATATATTATTCTTGATATAACGATAATAATTCTATAAAAGTCTGTACGTAACATCTAGATTGTGTTACATTATATCTGGATTTTAATTGGATATCGATGCTATAAAAAAAAAAGATTCTGAAAAAAAAAAAAAATTTACGGTTTGGTGTAAGTTTTATTCCTCCCTTCGGGTGAGGTTAAAAGCTTGCCATTTGACAAAAGGAAGCACATACTTATAAACTCGTGGTGTATAGTTCCAGTCAACGAACCGTTTAATAAATTCGATCTTTTCGCCTTGAGCGCCCTTCTGGGAGGTTCGGTGTGAAGGTTAGAAGCACCATATATTCCTTGTCGTTCCGGATTTAATTTATCACTATGTGGTATTGACGGTTGGGAAAAACCATATGGTGAACAAACAAATTACACAATTATTAAAAGAATAAATTTAAGATATGTAAATTTTTTTTATTTCTTCTAGTGTTCTATTAGAGCAAATGTTCAAAGAACTGTCTGTTAACTAATTACTAATCTTTAATTTTGATTGGTTATTCTTATTGACAACCGATTAGATTATGTGAAGATTATGTGAAAATTAATTAAAACTCGAAATTTGAAACCAAAATTCTAACATCTACATATATGATAAGATGTGAATATTTTAGATTATAATAAAATTCTCATTCATTCTAAACGAATAAACAAATTCGTATGAGGGATCTCTTGCAATATGGGTGACCCCTTGATAAAATGTATTATTAATCAATTGATTATAAAGTGTACTGTGAGATGTCCCGATAGAGTACACCTATGATTGTTAATCTTCTGCCTGTTCCTTATTAAGTCTCGCAATATAAAACAAAAAGGAATTGGAAAACGAATAAAATTTGAAAAAAAAAAATTTATTTCTTAGTAATTGTATTGATGATAATCACATATGCATATCGATATAAAAGGTTCAGAGCACAAAACCTATCGCCATTGTAAAATGCCGGAGATGTCCGTTTACGTAAGACAATTTCCGCTTCGACTTTTCATCTGTCGGAAATTTATACGTATTACTCGGACAAATTTTATTTGTTGTCGCATACCCGGAAATTTTGTGCACTGCTAACCGCATAAGATCCGAAAAAATCAACTTTTTAATACGTATAATTAATCGTACGTACTATACAGCAGTACAGATTCGGGTGTACATACGAAATTCTGTGCTAAATTTTGATCGTACATATGGTTAATATAGATCTGCAATTTTCAATTCTCTTTTTAATGGGAAGTTAACTTGGGTTTCTTTTACAAACCGTACGTATTATCATGATTTTTACACATCCGTCCTAATTTGCATTTCCCGTCCCGTACCGTATTATTTTTACTATATCCCAAATATGGCGTTTTACTCAAGATCATGCACTCGTAAGTATGTACGTACGTACATGCTTATTAATGTAAATAATTAATACAATAATATACTCATGATGATATATATGATCAATCACAGACGCTAATTTTATTATCAGTAATCGAACTAATTTAAAAGATACATTATGATTATGAGACGATGCAAGAGATAAGAGTACACTTTACATTAATTCTCGTTTCAATTAAACACAATTTGATACCAATTTTATTATTATTTCAATAAATGCAGAAATTATCAATAAATCCGAATTTTGATTAATATTATTACATGCTATTTAATTAGGTATCATAAAAAAGTCAGGATCAATCTTTGTAAGTTTCGGAGAAGTAGTCTTGCCCTTTCTTTACATCGATAGCCTATAATATGTAATATAATTCACGTTTCACGTGATCAGAAAATAGATCACAAATTGATCATAAACGATGACATCAACAAAGATTTCAATTACCTTATCGCCCTTTTTCCAACCGATTGGACAGACTTCACCATGTTTATCAGTGAATTGAAAAGCTTCAACAAGTCTTAGAATTTCATCAATGTTTCGTCCCACGGTAAGATCTTTGAAAAATAAATAATATCGCGTTTACAATCTATAAAAAAAATATATATATATATGTAATAATAGTTGTTCAAGAATCACTTACCGTTGATAGTTATTTGGCGGATAATGCCTTTATCATCTATAATAAACAAACCTCGAAGGGGAAGTCCTTCTTCTTCGACCAGAATTCCATACGATTTAGTGATAGACTGATTTTTGTCGGCCACAAGTGGAATATTCATAGGACCAAGACCACCTAATTTAAATAAATTTAATATTATATTAATTCTTGATTTATTCAAATAATACGTGTAAATTTTGGTTTTCTTACCTTTGTTTCTTGGAGTGTTGATCCATGCTAAATGACTTTTGATTTCAATCGTATTAATTTTTGTGTTAATTTTTAGTATGAAATATTGTAAATTTAGGTTACTTAAGTTACTTACACGAATTGACTGTCACAAGAAGCAGCCAAAACTGCTGTATTCAACTTTTTAAACTCATCAACACGATCAGAAAAAGCAATAATCTGAATGATCCGCAAATACCCGATAAATATATTGATAAAAAAAAATGATCCATATAATCGTATATTATCTTACCTCAGTCGGACAAACTAATGTAAAATCCGCTGGATAGAAAAAAAGTACAACATCTAAAATACATTTTGGTTTAATAATTATTACTTTGAAAAAAAACACTACAAAAAGTGTAAATTAATTACTCACATTGACCAGTATAGTCGCTAAGAGAAACTTCCTTGAATTGTCCGTCAACAACAGCGTTAGCAGTGAAGTTAGGTGCAGGCTTTCTAACTTTAGCAGTCATTTTTTTCAAGAATGAAAATATATGATTTAGAATTGATAAAGAAATGAAGTTTAAGTTTCGATTTTTTTTATAATACGATAAAGACAAAGATGATTTTTTTGTTGAAAGAATTTGGGGAATTGATGGAATTTATATAATAATTCGCCACGTGTTGAGTTTAAACTCTATTTGTAGATATATTCAGACAATAAAACAAACGGCATTCCTAAATTTAGTCGAAAAGATGCATGTTTACGTATAAAAAGTTATAAGCAATCAACCTGTCAAAAAGATTAGTAATAAAGTTGTTGCCTAGAACGATCCTTTGTCATAATACCTAAAACACTTAAAACTGTATATGATTTCGTTATAGTTTCAGTTATCCCGTCCCAAACCTAAATTGGTAATTTTAATAAATATCGATAATTAGTCATCTTATTAGACAGTCGATTCATGTTCATTTCATAATGTAGATCATTCTTTAACCGAAATTAACTTATAATTTTGACCGATTTTTATGATTTTACTATTATTAGAAGTCAAAAGAAAAGTTCACTTAATTCACTTAATAAAAAACACAACCAAAAAACTTTTACATATAACAAAGCTCCATTTTTGTACAATAAATACTGTAATACTTTAAATTTCGATATTGTTTATTACAAAAATTTGTTATTTTTTAGTCCTTTAGAGACAAACTACCTCTTAAGTTTGGTATTTACACCCATGACTTCTAATAAACAAAAAGTTATGATTCACCCTCGGATAAATTAATTAAGCAACTCTCTTTAATTATCTATATGTTCCAAAACAACACCCATGGGTGTTATTTTACACAAATATAATACATGTTAAATATAATACCGATACATATTCAACTTCTTTTTTAGCGACTTGATTTGTTTTATTAAATTACACCAAAATTATTTAATTCTAATTATTGAATTATTGACATTGAATTATTAACGTTAAATAAAATTAAATATAATACTTTAATTGTATAGCATGATAAATATTTATTTTACTTGACTAAACTACAAATTATTTTATATAAATTATTACAAAGATATATTTAGATATTTAATTTCTTTTTTTTAAAATAGATTTATTTTTGTTATTAATGGTTAAACTTTAAAGCAGATTGTATTATTTAAAACTTTTAATTAAATAATATAATTTAAACCTCTATTTATAAAAATAAATTTATTATTATATATTAGTTATACAGTCGATTCTCTATAAGTGCACGTTATCGGGGTCACTTATAGAGATGTACATTTATAAAAAAGTGACTTAGTCTAAATTCATAAAAACAGATCAAATATTAAAAAAATAAAAAGAAGTTATTACCAAAATTTATTGAATAGATTATGATGAATGCACTTATAGAGAGTCGACTGTAGTCGACTGTAGTTGACTATAGTTTTATATGAGTGTCAGAAACCCCCATATATGACATTTATAATGGTCTATTTTTAGATATACGGTTTCCCTCCTCGACACGAGCTTAAAATCGCTTAAATTCAATTACAGAATTCCAAGATCGGTAAAGATAGATAGACGTTAAAGACTTATCATTTCGGATGAAACCAGATCAAAGTGTCATGGATTTTTAACGATCTCTGGATTCTGTTGATTATACTTTAGCGCGTCATTTTGGACTAGTGAATCAAAAGTTATTGACTATTATTAACTATTAAAGATTGGATACAAATTTCCAAAAATCTTCTTAGAAACATTTATTAGTTAAGCTACAAATACTGTTATCTTAATAAAACTTTGCAGTATAACTCTTTAAAATTTCTTATAATTTATTATACAGTAGAATTTATAATATAAAAATAAATTTTTCGTAAAACTTTTTTTTGTTAAAAAATTCTTAATTAATAATTAATTAATTAATTAATTAATTAATTTATAATTACATATATTTCTTTTAATTAAGTGGTTTAACTTTTTATAATATTTAAGTGTTGCTCACTAGAACGTTCCAATGGTCAAATATTCCAATGAAGATTGTTTATCCAGTGATGTCCAGTGATGTCCAGTGATTTTTGATCGGCTGATCCGAATTGATCGCCTGGAGTAGTAACTTGTTTATATGTTTTGAAGTATTTTTTTTCCTTTATCATTTTTGAAAATATATAATAGTGATTATTTTGCAAAAGAAAAATGTGAATACGTAAATTCCGTGTTACCACTAATTGAGGACAGTCACATAACCTTTCAACTATCAGAATTTAACATACCTACATTGCTTTAACGTAATCTGTAAGGTTAGGAATCATAAAGTCGTTAGTCGACTAATCGACTAAATTTTTTTATAATCAGCGGAATAACGATTAATCGATTAGTTGATTAAATCAATTAAATCAACTAGTTAATCTATTAATCAATTGGTCAATTAGTCGATTTTTACTCAGTTGATACGTAGCTAACAGTTTTAGTCGACTGACTAATCGATTAAAAATTTCTGATCGATTACAATTTTTAGTGATCTGTTTTACACTTAGTTTCACACTTATTAGCTATATTTCTTAGTTAGATTTCTTAGCTGTATTCCTTAGTTGTATTTCTTACTTGTATTCTTGTATTTCTTATTAGTATATTCTATTATACTAATAATCACAATAGTAGTAAATAGTCAACCCTATTATGTAGAATAATACAGGTAAATAAATTTCATTCCATTACCATTACTTTGAGCATAACGATAATTCCGCTTAATATTGTTCATACGTACTACGGTTTACCGATTTACCGAATTAGGAAATCGAATTCTAGAATGATCTACGTAAGAGCTCTTGAATTTGATTGGCTCTCACGTGCTTTCTTTCACCGTTTTTCGTAAGAATGAATCGTACGAACAGACAGTATTATAAGCTTAGTTTCAATAATTCACAAAAATCCATCCTAGTTAACTCTTGTCAAAAAAGTAAATGAAACTTGGAATTATAGAATTTTCTTTAAATAATAAGTTTATAACTTTGTTAACTAAATAAAATTTAAATACTTTTATAATGTCAAAATCTTAAAGAATAAGAGCACAAGATCTTTTATGCATTTTTGGAAATTTAATTGAAAAATACAAGAAAATTGGTTTGAAATCTTGCAAAGCAAAAAAAAAATCATGTTAATATATAAGAAACAGTTAGAAAACTTGCATTTTATTATTAATATTTTTATTAAACTTGCTAATTTTTATTTTTTAACAGTTGATTTTTTGTAAAAGACATTATAATTAATTAATTGTTTCTAATCATTTATATGATTTTCTTTAAAATTCAATTGAAAAATACAATAAAACCTGGTTTAATAATAATCAAAATAATATTATTAATAGTTTATTATTTTAACAGTTATATTTAGCAAAGTTATAAATTATTTAAGTTTTATTTAAACAGAAATTTAGCAGAAGTTGTTATTAATTTTAAATCTTAGAAAATAAATTTTATAAAAGCAGCAATATATAAATAAATATAAAAAAATTAAAAGTTATTTGCAAAAAGTTTATAACAACATAATTAATTACAAAAAGTTTATACTAATATAACTAAAATTTAAGATTTATATATTATACAAGGTAAATACAATAAAGTTTTTATTAAATAATAGAATATCAGATTTTTTAATTAGTAAAAATGTATAAATATAGTTATTAAAATAATAAAAGCAAATAAATTAAATTTTTTTAATTTTTTAAATGTTTCTTATTATTTTTTATTTTTTTTAAAGTTTTTGTTCTCAAAGAATAATTTTTATTTAAATTATATATATATATAAACTTTTAAAAATTCTTTAATATAAGAGGTTATAACTAATTATATATGCATTTTTAATGTCTAATTTAGGTAGTTTACTTATATATTATTTTACAAATTTTATATTAAATATTATATTTATAAACTAATTACAAGTTTTAGTTATTTAAACTTTTTATATATGCAATTTATCTTGTATTACAGAACATTTTTTAGACTAAATTTATTCAAAGTCTTAACATTTATTAATATTTTTAAGATTATTTTATTCTTAACAAGCTTATTAAAATCTTTTATAGGGGTGTGATGACCTAGTAAAGTGATCAGATTGTCAACCTTCCAAGTGGTAGATTTGGTGTTCAAATCCTATCAATAGTGAAAATTTGAATAATCATCTATGTAATATTTGTATTATGGCAACTGTTACTAACAATTGGATTAGGATACCTGTAATAGTAGTTACACCAGCATGACTGACAGGTTATAAGGCATCTGTATAAGTATGATATTACACAGAAGAATGCAAACTAACAAATCAGATAATGTAAACACTTAATAAGTCCTTATGACTATATAAATCTGTTGAAATTAGGTAACAAGAAGTCCATTTGGGAAGACCCAATTAGAAAGATAACTGAATCTTTAACAGTCTTACTGTAAAGGTTAGCCCAAAGGAATGGATATCAAGGTTGTAGTACCTAGTCATAGTAGCCAAATAGGCAAGAACCTCCAGATTGAGAGTCTCAGAAGTACCACCAACTAGGCTACTAGAACAAACTAGAGAAAAAGAATATCAGGCTAATTCAATATACTAATAGACTGATCATAGTTCTATATGAGCTATCTGGATTGAGAGTCTCAGAAGTACCACCAACTAGGCTACTAGAACAAACTAGAGAAAAAGAATATCAGGCTAATTCAATATACTAATAGACTGATCATAGTTCTATATGAGCTATCTGGATTGAGAGTTTGATAAAAAGGTAGATAAAAAGATAGGAGTATACTAAAATACTGGGGTTATACTGTAAAATAAATGCTAAGGTCTAAGTGAACTCTATAAGAACATAGCAGTTTAATGGTCAGCCCTGACTGCAAGTGTTGGTTCTGCCATAATGATACCTAGTTCAGCTGTAAAAATGGATATAAAAGGCTTTGAGAAGTTTATTTCAAGGATAAATTAGTTCTAAGATTGAAATAATGATCTGAGCATCTAAGTATGACTCAATGAGTTAATACAGATTACAGATTCAGAAAGTT